TTGGGACACCTAAACCCTTAACCCTTAACCCTAAACCCCTAAAACCCTAAAACCCTAAACCCCTAAAACCCTAAAACCCTTAACCCCTAAACCCCTAAACCCTAAACCCCTAAACCCTAAATCCTACAGCCTATAACCCCTTAAACCCCTAAACCCCCATAGATCCCTTTAAAGGAACCCTTATAGTGCCCTTTAAAGGAACCCCTACCAGGACTCTCCCAGCACCCCTGGGATTGATCGGGGCGCCCGAGTTGTCGGAGCCTCCCGGGCTCTTCCACGTCTACGGGTCGCCCATCGCCGTCTTTGTGAAAAGCAGGGTGATGAAGAGGACTGAAAGGAGCAGGGGTGCAGTCGAGTTCGAGGGGTTTAGGGTTTTGGGGTTAGGGGTTGTGGGTTTTGGGTTCAGGGTTTTGGGGTTTATAGGTTTAGGGTTTAGGGGTTTAGAAATGGAGCAGTGGACTTAGTGAGGAGGTTGTAAGCAAATACGGCTCGAAGTAGGATAGCCGTCATTTTGAAATTTGTAGGGTACTTCGAACACCACTTATGAACAAAATACTTACCAAGCCCCCTGCTCCTCTAACAGCACATGCGACGAGACCTATTGTCCATGGACCTCTGATGGGACGTGGGATCTCGGGGTTCAGGGGAGGATGCGATCTTGGTGGTATATCCTTGGCAGGGGGGTTCGATCCCACCATCTCCAGGGTTGCATAGCAGGGTCCCCCATTCTCAGAAGCTCCTCCGAGCTGCGGCCCCAGGAAGATCACTCTGGAGCTGCTGAAGCGATTTCGGCTCTGCCATACCTGTCCGGACGGCGATGCTGATTTCGTCCGCGTCGGTGGGGGCCGGGATGGTGGGTATTTGCTTTGTGGCAGCGCTGCGCGGAACCTGACTCTGGCGATCTCCATAGGCATCCGTGGAGACTTGGTGCAGCCTGCGTGTTGTTGCCATGGTTCGGAAGACGTAGGAGGGAAGGGGCAAGAGGTGGACGAATGTCGAGAAGAGCGACCAGGACGAGTAGGACTCGCCGCCGTCCACATCGTCTCTCTCTGCCGCCCATGCCTCGTTCCTTCGGTCCCTATCATCCTCGTCATCGACATTCTCGTTGTTCTCGCTGCTGCTGCTGCTGCTGCTGCTCGTTCGTCCCCCCCGTCGTCATCATGGTCGCCGTCCAAGCAGGTAAAGTGGTCGAGATGCGTAGAATGAGGAGAAGAAGCAGGAGCATGAGCACGAGCAAGAGCAGCCAGAGGAGGCTGCAGATCTTTCCGGCTTGTGGCATATTGCTTGCAGCTTGTCCATGTGCCACACACCCATAATCTTCTAAGGAATGGACCCGTTCGGGGCAGCCTTGTCAGAAGAATTCGGGCCGAGGGTGGAAGGTTTTGACTGCACCGGAAACTCATATGCTTGCCCGCCGAGCTACAGCAGATGCCGGTTCCACTTCAACCCACTCTGCGTGGGTAAGCCTTTCGACGGCATGCCTGCAAGCCAGTTCTTGTCGCCCGGCTCACAGCTACTATAGAAGCCAAAATAATCTCCAATACTATTCCTTAGGGTTCCTCGATGTTCCTTATTCTCGCTTATTTATAGCTACAGCTGTAAAAGGAGCCGAAATTCTAATTAGTAAGGCCATTATACTAGGACCAGGGCAGCCCCAACCACAAAGGCTTGGGACTAGTCAGTTACATCGCAGAGTCGCAGGTCCTCGCAAGTAGCGGTTTAGATGGTTTGTGTAAGTGTATATACTGCCAAGCATTTGTTGATTCATTCTTACGCACGAAGCAGTGCCTCTTCCACTCCCTGTGTTATGCGGCAAAGCCAAGATATGGTTGAAATACAGTTCATTTCAATGCAGCCTCGTGTTTCTTTCAACTACTGATTGTGTCATTTTCTAGTCTAGTCCAGTCAAGACTGACGTATCGCGAACATGACGTATTGCGAACATGGCAAGCAATCCTCCCTGCTTCAATATGTGTCATGGTGTGCACTTCGCTCCACACGTTTAGAACGACATGTTGCAAGACCTACCCACACGTGCTTTTGCAGGCTTTTGTTGTTGAGTTGCTTGTTTCTGGAGCTTAGTGTAGAACAGAGCAACAGTACCTTACAGCAGTAACAATTTGACGGTGCCGACGCCGTCGTTGTGGTCATCATCGTCGTCGGCAGAGGTATCTAGCGGTCCCGATGGATTGTTGTGGCAGTGGCGATTGTGGTGGCCGCGCTATTGCCAGTGATGGCGGCGGGTCGTTTTGGTGGTAGAAGTCTTCGCCGTCCCAATTGCCATCCTAGTAGTAGCATGGTGCTGATGTTGGAGTGGGGGTTCTGACAGTCGAAGTTGAGGTGCAGGGTTGTTGTAGTAGCAGCATTGCAGCAGGAGCAGCCACGAGCCAAGACTCAAGCTTACATGCTCCGAGACCGAGGATGCTACCCGAAATCCTGGATCTCTATGCAAAGCCGTCGGACGAGATGCTTTTGAAGATTGACTGTGAGGGCTGTGAGTGGAGCGTGCTGCCCCAGATACACCCCGATGTCCTCCGGCGCTTTCGCATGATCATCATGGAGGCGCACTGGCTGGAGAAGCAGGAGAAGCATCCTGTCTATGCAAAGGCCGCATGGTTGCACTTACATGGGTAGTTTTCTAAATTCGGGTACCCTTTTAGGGGCGTCTTCTTTTGGGGAACCTCGAAGGGCTCCTAATTTTAGCGAGCTACCCAGATAGGCATCCGACCCCGAGGCCGAACCTAGAAAGCTCTTGGTCGCTGTTCATCGTGTGTGCGTGTGTGTTGTGGAGTCTTTTTTTTATGTAGACTCCTGGAATTAAACTACCCCCTTCCTGAAAAGGGGTTAGAAGAGGGATCCGAACATTAAGATATTAAATCGAAATGTGGTTGATATTCATCAGGAATTTCCATTCAGGGATCTATTATCCTTCGAGTGCCTTATTACAAGTATACTAGACTAGACCCCCAAGCCCCATTCCAAGTATTAAGGCCCCTACCGCTTGTAATGTCTGAGCGAAGAGACACCGAAAGCTCAAGCTCAAATCGAAATGCTCAAACCCCAAACCTCCACACTCAAACCCTGCCCCCCTTCAGGTCCTGCACCCCTACCTTATAGGAACCCTTAAATGAACCCCAAGCCCTGAACTCCAACCCCAAACCCTAAACGCCTTAACTCGGACCCTAAACCCCTATGGCCCTCTAAAAAGCCGCTCTTTTTCAGGCCCTGGACGTTATCCTGGAGCATTTTGATCTGGTCCACAGCCACGCCTGCAACCGCTTCGATGTTCTGCTGGTGTCCCTTGGCTTTGGGGTTTTAAGGTTGAGGGTTTCAAAATGCCTTCAGGGTTTAGAGGGTTTGCGGTTGAGGGCTAGACTTTGATCCCTGTTTGCTTTCGGCAATGCACCAGCCTCCAACGAGCAAGACAACGGCAACACAGACAAAATGTCGAATCGCAAAACTCATCAAACACCAAACCCCAAACCGTAAACCCTTAATCCTAAACCTAAGCCCTTTTTTCCTGAGCACTATAAAGGCTTCACAGCTCAATGCCGAGGAATGGAACTGACTTCCAGTTGCCTCGGGTGTTGGAGGTGACCTTTCTTCGCAAGGACCTCACTGCATCTATCAGCTGCAGGAACTCGAAGTACCGCCGCTGGCCAGCCTGATATTCGGGTTTAGGGTCTAGCGTAGGGGCCTTAATAATTCGAATAGGGTTTTGGGGGGACCTCGTCATAAGTATGGTGTAATCTACCCCCAAACCCCATTCTAATGACTCAGGCTCCTAATCTAGAACCCTATCATAGACCCCTTTTAGGATCCCTTGAAAGGAACCCTATTCTTATTACGCTCCGCGCGGACCGATTAAGGCCCCTACCTTAGGTTTTCTTTCGGTCTGCGATCTATGGATCTATGCAGCAGTGCAGGTTGGTTCGTGTGATCCAATAAGGGGTCGATCACTGTCAAAAGTCTAGGGTTTAGGGTTGAGGGGTTTAGGGTTCAGGGGTTTAGGGGTTTAGGGTTTAGGGTTTTTAAGTACGAAGCCTTGAACTTAGGGTTTGGGGCTTAGGGCAGCCACATGACCAAACCAGGCAAGCAAACCTGCCAGACAAGCAAGCTGAAGCTTAGTCACGCTTCGAATGCTCAGAAAGCAGAAAGCAGAACCAATAATGCCAGTGTAGAAGCATGGTGCGAGATCATACGACAACACAGGTGATCAAGGGTGGGCCGGGTAGGCAGGGGTAGTACTCGCATGCAACATTCGGTTTAGAGCATTGACGTAGAAAACCTAACCCTATTCCCGAAGCCCTAAATTGCAAACCCTAAATTTATTCCGTGAGACGTAGATGGTATGTCATGTAGCAGCTTCGGCGAGCTGCCTTGGGCCACCGGTTCAGTTGTCGTCAATGGAAACGATAGTGATGGTCATCGCGCTCATCATCGACGTCGCTACTGGCATGCTTTTCCTGGTCATGATCAGCAACATCATCATCTTCTTCTTCTGCATGTTCATCAACATAGTCACCATCATTGCATTGGCGTCACGGTGAGAGTCATATCCATCGTGATTGCTACCATCATCGTTGTCTCAGTCATCATACAACATTCACAACTCGGACTTGATTCTTGGGTTGATGGCACGGCTTGAGGTACTGGTCTCGACCAACCAATAGCAATAAAGGTGCGCGAGCTCTACGCAGATGCTTTCCGACCGGGGGGATCGATGAAATGGGGCCGTCAGACGTAGGCTTTTGGGGTTAAGTGTTTAGGGTTTAGGGTTTAGGCTAGCTGAAGCCCGAAACCCGAAGTCCACAATCTTGACAGGACTGCCCCCAGCCGACTCCAAGAAAGATGTCAGATGAAGCGAGGGAGAAACAGGTCTGGAACTATTGTGTTGTGTCATTATCACAGTAGAATCCACCAAAGCCGTTTATAACAGAATGGAGTAGAATAAAACATAACACATATAATGTGTGTTATACTGTATTGTACACCGTTAGCAAAAACCCTAACCCCTCAACCCTAAACCCTAAACCCCTAGAAGCGTAGTAAAGCTTGGTTATGAACCTTCTGAACCCACACGTCGCCGTTTAGAGTTTGTGGGCTTTGGCTCCTTTGGCTCAGGGGTTTAGGGCCAGTTTAGGGCCTCAGGGTTTCGGGTTTAGGGTTCAGGGTTGTGGGTCTAAGTCTAGTTTTTGGAGTATCGGATTTTGGGATCTGGGGCAGCAAGAAGTTGACCTTCGGGCTTGTTGCGAAGATTACTTCGTTAAATGGAGAACTTAAACCCCCTTTGTTGTATGGTTTGTAAGGAGGAGCTTGAACTGTCTTTGGCCTGGGTATAACGAAGGATACCAGGGCGCAGTTTGGACATTCTGGCAAATCCCTCAATTTCCGATTCTTCCCCACGCTGGCTTAAGGAAGGACGAGCTGCCTTAGTCTCATCATCCATCCTGGGCCACCTTTATCCCCAAAAGCCCTCAATATGCAGACCCTTAACCATGAACCCTTCATCCCTAAACCCCTAAACTCCAACTCATTGAACCCCTTGAGACCCTAAAGATCCCTAAACCCTTAATCGCTACACAAAGCCTTTACTCCCCGGCTTAGGCTGCTATTTTTGAACCAACTCGGATGGAAGGAGAACAAAGGCCGAGCATGATGAACCACCTTGGGTACAGGGCTCAGGGTCGGTCCTAAGCAATAAACCCAAACGCCTATGGCCCTCAATCCTACGGGGTTCATGGCTCTCAATCCTTGGGGTATCGGTTCTCAAACCCTAAACCCTAAGTTGGATCATGCAGTGGTCATGTCGACAAAGCGGACTTGCGCAGCCGTGGGCGTGACCGCCGCGCTGGTCTACGTCTTCGCCGCTTGCTGGCTCTGTTCTAGGAGATCTGAAGACAGACTCGTCCGAACTTCCAAAGGTTGCTGTTGCTGTGCATATATATATATATGTATATACATAGAGATTATATACATATATATATATATAGTCTGTCTGTTTGTCTGTCTGTCTGTCTGTCTGTATGTATGTGTTCATGCATGGATGTATGTCTGTATGTCTGTATGTATGTATGTATGTATGTATGTCCTTATGAGAAAAAAGAAGCCTGAATAATTTTTACGGCAATATTCTTTAGAGCCCTCATACAGCAACCCTCAGAGAAACCCCTCAAAAAAGCCTTGAAGAACCCACAGTCTAGCCCTAAACCCTGAAGGCTCCCATACGAGTCCGATCCCTATTCGTTGTCGCCACGAAAGGCTCCTAGATCCGATTAGCGTTGAGGGCTTTGGTACTACTACTACGATTAGTACGATTAGGGTTGCTACAACAATAAGAACAGTAATCGCAATAATAACAATCATGAAGGATTATAGTGCTTTTTTTAGATATGATAATGATCATTATTATCGTCATGGTTATGATGGTTGCTATTACTATTAGCATAGCCGTTGTTACTCCTTTGGGCTCGTTTTTCTACTTGAACTAGGATATGCGGTAAAACCTATCCTATTTTGTAAGGCTCCGATGCTAGCTAGCTCTTGGGTGCTAGCCAGAAAGTTGGCTAACAAAAAGCAAGGACTCATCGGAGGGTAAAGGCAGACAGACGGCCCAAGTTGATCCCTAGACCCTACACCCGCAACCCGAAACCCTG